TCTAGCATAAAACATTGGTATGGTATAGTTATAAAAGATATTAGGTTTCCACTATGCCTAGACGTTATTAATATTTATTTAATACAATTTTATTTTATTAACTGATGTAAAAAAAAGAAGGTTCTTGATTCGGTCTTGATGTTATTTTTGATGTTTCTACCTCAGCACTCCGACATTTGTAAACTGATTTGGGAAATATATTTTTTATTTGATAGGGGGGACTCCCCGTTTAATCCCAATTAAAATTGAAAAAAGATTTCCAACCCTAAGGGTGGAAATTAAGGAATGATGATTACCTACACCCAATTCCACATTATGTAGGCGCATTGAAGTCGCTTACCCCTTTTCAATCAATATTTTGACCAAAAACAAGTACTCAACTATTTAATAAGAAAAAAAATCCATCAGAGTATATTAATCATACATTATACGAACATAATAAATCATAAGGTGTACGATAACTCATTTATAAATATAATATTGCATTGCGTAGATATATCCACGTTGAATTAGAAGCCGTGACGCTATCAAGCCTGTAGATATTTTAGAATCCTACAGTAATGGTAACGAGTTGTCTCGTCAGCAGCTCAGCCCGACTCAGGTGAGGGGTAATGACATTCTGGAACGTATCGATCGCATCGCACACAAATAGCCAGCCAACAGGCTAATCCGTCGTCGCGCTCCGCACCGGCCGAACACCAGGCGGTGCCGGCCGACCGCACACTTCGCACTCGATGTTCGACTTCGACTTCCTCATTATTTCCGTTGATAAGGACACATCACATTGTCCAGCTAAAAAATCTGTCGCATTTATTTTTAACATTTCAATTACCAATTCTCAAACTGAACGAACAATATTTCAAGGCACTTGAAATATTGTTGTTGTTTTTTTATAAATTAGGGAATGAAGAATATTCATCATCCACATTTCTATTTTGAAGGTGTAAATATTTTTTCACATTGAAATGAGACCAACCTTAAGTACCTACAACTTATTAAATTAAAACAAATTATTATTGAAATCAATTCTTAATTGCCGGAGATAGTGAATAACATATATACAAAAAAAGTGTCAAATTGTGGACATCCTTGCCAAATTGTAACTTGTTGACATGATTTTGTTTAATCCTCTAATTTCCTCTAAGTTACCTTATATAGTGTTTATGTCACATAGGCATTATTCCCGTTGAATAAACATCATGTTATGGTTTTAAAAAAAATGTGGTATAGAATGTTGGAGAGAGCTTTATTCTGTGTTCTCCCAATCTCGTTTGTTAAAACTGTAGTCATTTCTTACTTATTGAGGCTTAAAATACAATGATTGGTTCGGAGATTCGTAGTTCGGTGGAAATATCAACAGTAATAAGTCATAAAAAGAGTTAATTTAACATAATTACTGAACTTATGAATGATTTTTATTTATTCATATTAACTATTTATAAGTCAGTAGGTATAAAATTAATTCGCCTGTACTTACATATTACATTGTACTTATATATTACATTATTTGTAGAATAAAAATCTCAAGATGATTGACATTAAAGTCTGAACTTCAAGACCAATGAAGAAATTAAGAGTGATACACACCTGATTCGTTTGTAATATTAATAATAAATTCCTTGGTATAATATACATAACGTAGGTAACAGAATTTATTAAACGACTTTGGTGTTTCTATATGGCTTAAACGAACTTTTTACTTTTTAATCGATAGGCACCAAATTTTCATTTAAATATAATCGATTATTATTTGACCGAAACAGCAACATTTTTGGTAACTAATAATTTACCTAACTTATTGAACTAGCTTAAGGAATATAAATGAGAACAACGAGTTGAAAAAAATATACCCAGGAAAGGCGAGGTCTAAAATGGTTTTAGAGTCATCTTTCCTGATCTCTTAATAAATCAGTTTATCTTTCTTCCGGATTTCATTTGATAATGAAAAAGTTGCAGTATTGTATGACAGTTCATTCTTTGAGCAGGTTTGTTAGGAATTCCCTAAGTTATTTGTATAGTAGGTATATCTATAAAAACTTTCTTATCTTAATAAATCTTTGAAAGTTTTCCCGCCATATCAATGACTTTCTTCTTAAAAAACACAAAGCCAAACAGGTGAGGCTATCTGTCACCATAAAAAAAGGCCCGGACGTCTTTATAAAAGCTGTTATCGGATCCCTCCTATTTCAGGCGCTGTTTACACCAGGGTTGTTGCGAATATCAGTATCAGCATCCGTGTATTATCAGCATTGTTTCTAATATCAGCATCAGCATCCGCAAAAATCGATGCCGATTTTAATGCTGATATTCAAGTCGTAACGTTTTCGTTGAAGGCGGGACCTAGCGCCAGTCACATAGAGTGAATTAGAAAAACATAACCCTTCCTTCGCAGTCGGCTAAGCAGCTGTCTTTTATTCCCTCATTCGATTGTTATGTCAACAAATTGATAAGACGCTAGTGATACACGCATATTGTGTGACGTGCATGCGTCATGCGTGTCATAAACCATACTTTCAAACTTGTATTATAAATGTGACAGTGAGTTTGTTTGTTACGCTTTCACGCTTTAACTACTAAACCACTTTTAAAAATTCCTTCAACAATGATAAGCTACATCATCAGCGAGTAACACAGGCTACTTTATATCGCAATAACCGAAAAACACGCGGGTGGAGCCGGAGGCAAAAGCTATTATGTATTTCCATACTTATATTATAAATGTAAAAGTGAGTTTGCTTGTTACGCTTTCACGCCTAAACTATTAAACCGATTAAAAAATGCCTTCACCAATTGAAAACTTCATTATCAGCGAGTAACATAGCCTAATTTTACAGCAATAACCGACATTTTTTCCTTGCCCGTGTGCAAAAGTTAGTAAGAAATAAAAAAAGTATTCCATAAACCACTACTTATAAAATAACTATCTGCACTGGCTTCGAGATTCCAGTTATCTCTGTTTTTTAAATATATCTTAGCATTAATAAGATGCCAATATTATCGCGCATCGCGCGTATCTTGTATGTTTGTTAGTAAATTTCTTACTTACTTCGTGTATTCTAAAAGGCTGAATGGATTTCGACAGTTAAAGTATTTTTTTAACCGTCTTAAAAACCCAAGTGTCCTTGGATGGGTTTTGAAAGAAAAAAAAAGAAAAAATTTGGCGCAAAATAGTATTCGGTTAATAAAATATTTTAGGCAAACCTATCGAGTATCTATCTCAAATCAAACCTTTCTCAAAGTCAAGAAAATTCAAGGGAGATTATAGAAATATATTTAAGTTATATATTTAAAGTTATAAGAAATATTAACATGGTTCGGAAAGTTTTTGATAGCGTAAAAGTGGGCTATGTTTGTGTCGGACCTCATGCTGATTCGGTCTTGTTAGTGCATTACTTTTAAATTGTCTTTTTGCAGTCGGAATTTTGAATTTTTTAAATTATCTTCTTGATAATTAAAAAAGATAACTAAACATTGATTATTATTATAAAATGATTATTGTAAAAACTTGTCAGTATTTTTTGTTAACAAAAAATATTATGATTATTATTAGGTACTAACTACTAACTTTTGCCCGTCATTTTAGCGCCAGCTAAAAGCTACACGATCAGCGAATAACTCACTGATAACTGGTAGCTTTCCATTAGTGAAAAAATATTGGAATCGGTTAAGTATTTTAGACGTGAAAGCGTAACAAGCAAACAAACTCACTTTCACATTTATAATATCAGTACGGAAGTATGGGTAACTTGGGTTTCATTCAAAATATGTAGTTACATTTACTGATAATTTTATACTAGGATATGTTTAATTAAGTAACTTATTAATATCAGCATCTGCTGATATTGGTTTATAAAAATCAGCATCGGCATCCGCTGATATAATTAAAATCAGCAACAACCCTGATTTACACCGTGTGGTTTTAATTGGTTCAATTCTGATACTTCGTCCCACCGCAAATCCCAATGGGGTGACCGCCAACTGGGCTGTCACATGTAAAACAAATACATTAAAGAAATGCCAACAAAGAGTAATCACTATCACACTTTTAGTAACATTTAATAATAGTTATCAATAATGTAGTATGGGCAATAGACAGGCACACCATTTAACTTAGATTAAAGAAATACTTGTAACTTACAAGTACCAATTACTCCTACGGACCTAAAAACCTACAGACTGGCAACTGTCATCAGTACTGTTCAGTTTATTAATCGAGCCCTGTTTGTCATGAACTAAAGGAGTTAACGAAATAATTGTAAGTTATATTGCTTGATCTGTTAAAACTTGAGTCCATTATGGAATTTCCATCTCAACTTCGATAGTTAAAATAACTCGATGTCAAGCATTTATTATACAGTATTTTTAGCATCTTTTTTTCAGTTGGGTTGTGTTCTTCTTATTAGATTTCTAAACTTTTTAATTATTTATACGTTACAAGTTAAATGAAAATATGTTGTATTAGTAATCAGTTCTAACTACAAGTAAAATCAATTTAACACATGAAACCCAAGGCGCAAACTCGTCAAAAATTGGCACGTGGAACGGGGCGTCGTCTGTGGCGTTTCGTCGCGCAACAAACCCGCGCATGCGTCCTTTCAACCTTGCACTGAAACCATAGACAAGTTTTCGTTTCGTTATCTGGCAAGCAAATCAGCTTTTTGTTTGTAGGTTATGTTTTAGTGATTAATTGTCAAAATTTATGTTGAATATTTTCATGATATTTGCTCAGTTATCATGGGGTGGACATGAACTTGTTAATTGTTTCGTCTCATGGAGTATTATTTAGTGTATCGATTGTAATAAAGTAGTTAACAATTTGCGCCCGTTGAATGACTGTGTCGACTTGACATTGAGTTGTTGAATTGAGATGTGAACATATAAGTGGATACGCATTTGTCAGCTAACTATCAACATCGCTAAGTTTTCAAACAGAATCTATTTATTTCTAGATCAGTGTGTTTTAGTGTCGTTATTGTATAGTGTAGACATAAGCCGTCAAGATGACGATGAGTCAGTTATCAGTTATGAAACTCTATACCACAGTCGTCGACGACGTGATCGCCGGAGTGAGGGATTGCTTTCTAGATGACGGAGTAGATGAACAAGTGCTGCAAGAACTGAAACAATTATGGAAAACTAAGCTACAATCCAGCGGAGCAATGGACCCACCTCAACCAGAGCCGTTGATGCCAGCTCCGCCGGTGCTACAGAACTTCCAAAAGGCAAATGGTAATAACACTATGCCTAAAAGAACAGATCCTCATATGGGTCAACAGGGTTCTAGCCAAAACTCAGGTGTAGAACATGGACCTCCTGCTTCTAACATAGCTGGTGCTCATCCACATCATGTGCTGGATCCCAATAATAAAGTACCAGTGCAACTTACTCTACCTGCTCAACCTGGTGTGCCGGGATCTCAGCCGAGGTCATTTACTATTCAAATACCTGCATCAGCCTTAAATGGCAACAAATTGCACCAGGTGCTTACAGGTCCTATTATTAACGCTACAATAAGTTTACCCCAACCGTTAGCTGCTACTTTACTTCAGCAACACATAAACTCAGCACTTGCTGGCCAACAAAATGAATTTGATGGGGGTGGAGGCGGACGTAGCGGGACTGCCCCATTTTCCTTAGATGGAGCCCTAGATTCATCAGATGATGAGGGTTCTAATGTGGGAGATGGCTCTGATGATGCAGCAGGTGATGATGACGAAGATGAAGAGTCTCCAGAAGAGCGAGCCGAGGAGGAGGAAGAGGAACGGGATGAAAGTGGTGGTGCAGAGGAGGAACCTCTCAATTCAGAGGATGATGTATCTGATGAAGAACCAGGTGAAATGTTTGATACTGACAATGTTGTGGTTTGCCAATATGACAAAATTACTCGCAGTCGCAATAAGTGGAAGTTTTACCTTAAAGATGGTATCATGAACTTAGGTGGGAAAGATTATGTCTTTCAGAAAGCCAATGGTGATGCAGAATGGTGAACATTTCCTACTAATGAACCAATAAGCTGTGTGTATTTTTATAGAAGGCGTAACTTGTTGTATTTTGACTGTTGGAATGTAACTACAAGAAAATACAAAAGTTGATTGTCACTGAATATCAACTGATTTTATATTGTATAGAATTTATCACTTAATGCCATTGACTTCAACCACTTCAAAAGTCCAAAAGATGGAACAATATTATACTTTACTCTTATATTCTTCTAAATTAATTTCATATTTCTTTCTGAAATATAAATGTCCAAAGATAGTTCAAACCATAAGGTACCTACCTTTAATATAAAATGATCATCACCTCAGTCGTAAGACGTCTATTGCTGGACACAGTATACTTAATTATATAAACATATTAACTCCAGCAATTCTATCAACATTGGTTCCAATTCATATTTATTATTATTTATAAAATTAAATGTAATTGCAACTAAACACCTATATTTTAAAGCTTTACTTGTAAATGACTTGCAGTGGTATTTTTGTACTGGTTGATGTCAATGTAGCCAGTGCTCATCTGTATCTGTGTAATAACCTGTATTATTAAAATACCAAATGCTGGTGATGGTTTAATGATTTAGAGCTATTAAAACTGGTTATAATCCAAATGAATTCAGTGTGTTGTACAATTTGTATGTGTTTTGCTACTTAAGCTTCGGTAAGTTGAGACAAATATTCATTTTATTCTCATTCTATGTATTCAACTTCTGTGGCCTAGCTAATGAAAAATTAAAAAACAGTTTTAATCAAGGATTTCTGAATTAATGGTCCAAAATAAAACAATATAAATTAGTATCAGTACATTATTTGAATGCCTATTATGAAAATATTGATTTATTTAAATACACTCATATAATAATATTCAGTTCAACTATTTAGTGAAGCCGGTAGCATATATAAAGTACTGTGTATGTAGTCAAAATTGATCTTATAGTGTGAACACAAATGTACTATGGGCACACAGAAAGGGAGATATTGAAATAGGTTTGCAAGTGCCTGTAAAATGAATTACACTAAATAGATCACAATACATAGAGATACTATACTTTTGTATTTTATTGGATCTCGTTGTAAACATGAACATACGGGACAAGTATGCATGGTGGCACTAACAGACTAACTCAAATCACTCTCACCCTGACTAGACAGAATATATAGCCGAGTGACTTAGCTTATATTTCTTTCAGTGCTCTTTGTGAACACACAAATATTTCGATTAGAATAAGTTGATTACTTACTTTTATGTCCAAACATTATTATCTCAATAAAGTAGTGCTCTTTGATAATAAAATTATTAATAAATTATCTTCGTCAACATCCTACACATTCCTTATATTTTGTAATAAATATCATGGGTATCGTTCTAGATTTCACTTACTATTTTACATTTAACAATTTCAATATAAATATACAATTGTATACTGTTTGGAGACCAGTGATTATTGGTCAATTTGATTTTAAAAATTATACAAAAACTGAGGTATAAAGTGATGCTACTTCTAATTACATATTATTTAACCATCACTATCCCAAACAAACACTACTGTGTAACATAAATATAGGATCTTTCTTTTTCTCTAAGTTATTATATTGTGATATCTATGTTAATGATTATTCTTATTGATTTATTGCATTATCAGTGGAACATAACATGTATTCTAAATTTAATTTGTAATTACATTTTAGTACATGCAGCAAGTTCCAACTTTCTAGTTAATTCTCAATTAGATGTATTATAAGTTTCTTATGGTTTGTTTCAATCCCTTAATAAAACGTTTGATGAAAGTGGTAATAATAAAAACTGTTGCAACATTATTTTATTATTTTCCTGTACCTTAGTCCAATTACTTTATTTACTCGCATTGGATACAAATTTTGGCAGCGGATTTACAAGTGTTAAGATTTTTGTTCCTCTTTATAGACAGTGGCAAACAGGGTTTGCGGATAGCTATTTTATTAACCTTTTATTAGCGTGTGGTGTGTGGTAAATAGATGTATTTGGTACTAAGCCAGCTCTCGCCCACAAAACTAAAATCTTGAAATGTTTCTGGTAAGTAGGCACACTAAATTGTTACAATTGGATCTGCATTTAGTTTCACCAGCTTTGTCCCTCAATTCTACTATTTTATGTTAACGTACAAGCTCCTTTTTTTTTCCTTGCGGAAATCCCCTCGGATACTACCTATCGGTGGCATGTCGGACTCGAACCGACTAAAACCGCACGCCGACTCGGGTACTAATAGCCGGGAAACCAGGTATACCCTAGAAAGGAAGGCACCAGGCCCCGACATACCTCGGGCCATCTACAACAAGTAGACGACCCCCCCCCCCCCCCCGTGTGGGAACCCCATGTTCCCTCTGCTCCCTGGAAGCGAGCGCGCTTCGCAACGCGCTCACCGCCACCCCGGCCTGCTTCTGCTAGGGTCACAGATGGCCTCACCTGTTACCCCCAGGCCTGCCCTTATGGAGGATGGAGGTCGTTCTGCGACCTCCGGCGCCTGAGTCGCCTGCGGTACCTGGCGCGTTCCCGGGCTGGCGGGCCGGGAGAGTTCTAAACCTCTCCCGGTCCCGCTCCGCGGTAGCCGCAATCAGGCTATCGAGCGAGAGAACTCCCACTCCGATGGCCGCCACGAGGTCTCGCCTCTGCTCAACCCACGCCGGGCACTCTGCAAGCGTGTGGAGAGCCGTGTCCACGGTCTGGCCATCGCAGTGGTGGCACTCAGGCGTTGGCTCCTTGCGGATCAGACATAGGTGATCCCCGAAACATCCTTTCCCAGTGATCACCTGCGTCAGTCGGTATGAGAAGGTCCCGTGACGCCTCTCGAGCCAATCCTCCATAACGGGTCTTACCGCCGCGATGACGGCGTGCCCGCGTACAAGACCCTCATTCTATTCACACGCTATTGAGATGACATTCTTATCGGTCAAAATATCGGTATTCTACTAACATAAATTCACAATATTAATAGACTGTGGATGTAGTAGTATGACTGTCTAACGATATATTTAACTTTTCAGATGACGATGTTGTTGTACGGCAAATTTTAAATATGCAAGGAAATGTCCTTACATAAATAAAATATACTGTTTACCAAACTATTACAAAGACATCGACAACATTTGTATCAATAGCACCAGTGACATGCCATCGGCAGGCCATGGATCTTAAATAGTTAGTAGAATATGAAAAGAGCAAAACTATTCCGGCGACAGTCTATTGATACAATATTCAAATAGCAGAATTGAGGTCCCTTTTCGAAACAAAGGAATCAAAATTTATAGTATACTTCTCGTTGACCTAGAATTATCAAATTTGGCAACAACATCGTCTTATACTACAACTACTGGGAAAAATCTGAGAACTATAGGTACATTTGTAATGTCATAAAATTTTTGCCTTCATTTAAAGCATGTAATCAATCATCGAGGTACATTTTCACTTATAAAACACAATAATGTAAGTAATAATAGGTTTGGACACTGAAGTTCGGGCAAATCTCAAACAGAACTGCGAGACTCCATTTCTGAACTATTTATAATATGTACCTACAAATTTGTACGGAACCCTCGGTGGGTGAGTCCGACTCGCACATGTCCAGATTTTTATGGTATAGGTAGGTGGCAAACGAGCATACGGGTCACCTGATGGTAAGTGACTACCGCCGCTCATGGAAACATAAGTCTTAGGTTTCCATGGTAAGTGCGGTACGCTTTTAACTACGATAAAAATATTGTGTGGTTGTGGTTTCTAGTAATGATATAATAAGAAGTTGGTAATGCCTACTTTGAGCTGAAGGAAAGAATTGCACCTAAATGTACCGACCTGATGTGCAGTAAAAGAAAGAAATAACACACTGTATTAAAATTGTTACACAGCGATAGGTACTTATGTTATCTAAATGTCGCTGTTGCTATAGAAGATTTAAATAAGATCAAAATATTTTTTGGCGAAATTGCCAAGAGTTTTTTACGTTGGACTATGGCAGCACACGGATTACATCTTTGATGGATTGCCGACTACTACGATGGCAGCAGATGGATGCAGCAGTGGACGGCAAAAGGCTGAGGGCAATATCTTCCGCAACTACCACAAGTTAGCAAACGAATTGCAGATTTTTCTTCTTATCACAGGTCCCAATAATATACCATATAGGGTAACCCATTGAATTAAGGCATCTTGTATTTAAAACTTAAATTATTACTAATCGTGAGCTTCAAAATTACGAAGGCGTGGAATTTACAATTAAAGTAAGATCTTAAATACAGTCCACTTTTAAATGTAACTTGTTAATGCGTAGCGTGGACTGTAAAATAATAACTTCAATTACTACTTAATTTTGGAATATTTAAAATTGCAAGTTATGTCGTATGTAAATAAATCATTTCAACATCTTTGTATTTTTATCACATATCTTCGCTGTAACACCTGATCATAATTGATACAGGCAATATGAAGATTTATTCAATACTTAGGCAAAGGTTACAAGGTAAGCATACGTACAAAGGCCGTCTATTTGTAATCAAACCTCAATATTTAAATTACAACCCTATGGCTTTTAAGGTAGATAACTAAGTGGTCCTTAATTCAATTTAGTAGGTTTATATATTCTCACCTCCTTCATTGCACGAGGCGATTATTTTATGTTCTTTTTTGGTTTTAGCCTATCTTTTAATAACTAGGCATATTTTCTTACCGAGGTATTTGGAAATGCAGACAAGCTTTTAAAGAGGTACCTATGTAGCTACTAAGAGGAATTATGTCTAACATAATTAATAAAGTGATGTGATGCCGTTATAATACGCTTGAAGCACACTTATCCAACGATACTACTCTACCACTCGCCACTACTCTATCTATCTCTTTTTTTAACTCGGAGTTATACTAATGTAATACGAACACCAATATATATTTGCAATTTTTATTACTTCTTTGTAGGTACAGCGATTCATTAAATATGCCTCCTATCTTTGGAAACTGACATCAA